TTTCTCTATATTTCTCTATCAAACCTCTTAATAAATGTATGGCTTCCATAGTCGACTTACCCGGCATGAATCCAAATTGATTTTGAGAAACATTAGTATCACGCCGCAACCTATGCTCCATAACTCGCTCCCATAGTTTTAAAGTATGACACATTAACTTAATACCTCTATAATTCGCACAATCTTGTGCATCACCTTTATTCTTAAAAATAGGAATTAACACACTCATTCTCCACTCATCTGACATCTTCTTAGTCTTCAAAATAGATTATTAACAATTTGTTACATCAAGAATATTTTGCTTTGTTTTAAATGTATGTGTTTTTCATGAAAAAGCATCAATTAAATTATCCTCTTCCTTAATTTTATTTTAGGATTATCTTATTTCTCAGTAATAATCTATATTTAAATTTAAATAATTTGGATTTATTATGTAATCCTCTTTCTATAAGGATTATAAATGCATTGCAACGAATTATTATATCATGACTATAATTTAAAAGCCATTCCTATCATTCCTCTCTTTCTCCACTCCCTCCCATTCCCTATGCTCTTCTTATTCTTTCCCAGATCCTTAGGAATGTTTGGACTCCAAGTCTTGGGATTCTCTCCCCTTGCGTTGTGTAAGGTAGATTACTGGTTGAATAAGGCATGGACTTGAAGAACTGGTGGTTCTTAGAAAAGATTGAGTTGTTCACTTTCTTGTTAATTTATAATGGTGTACTCGAACAAGATGTAGGATATTATGATACATGAAAATGTTGCTTATTTTGTAGTCCTTAAGCATCTTGAAATTCATAGCAGATGGCTTTGACGGTGTAGGATAGTTAAAGGTTTTGGGTTTACCTATGCTACCTAAAATGAGATGTTCAACGAAACACATAAAAATCATACATAGAACTGCAATAAAAGTCAATGACTTTTATTGTGAAAACTATTAGCATATTTCTTTAATTCTAAATCTTGATTTAATAGTTACCAAAATTTCAAAATCCACTAAAATAAATAGTAAATGAACATAAAATTTCATGAAAGACCTGGTTTGTGTTATGAAAAAGAAATCCGAAGTATATAATACTTGACAAAACTCAATCACACACACAAATCATCGACTAAGAAATTAAAGAAAGAACGAGAAGAGAAATCACAAAAAAAGGAACTGAGACCTCGTTGTAGTAGATGGAGACTCACTATTGCAACTAGTTGCCATTATTTATGAAGCACTCAAGTAGTACACCTCCAAATAACATACATACAAGAATTAAAGAAAACTTAAATTCTTATTCCAATGCTCAATGTTTAGTACTTTTTTTACATGCCTCTGTGGTCTTATAGATAGCCAATGCATAACTCAAAATAAGATATTCCTTAGAATTCTTAAGGCGCAGTCTAAAATTGTAAGTTCCAATTCAACACAGTTGGATAGCAAGTTTCTAATTCTTTAAAAGCAAAACAATAAATTTTGGTTAATACTAAAGCTCATTCATTTATAGAAGAATTCTATTAGCCGAAACACCAAGAGAATATCATGCATGCATTATAGTACCATACCATAAAAAAAAAACAGCCACTTATTCCAAATACTGTGAAAATATGGAGATATCTAAACCAAACAATTACATAGAAGGCAAGGCCAGTGAAACACAAGCCGATGGTAATTTCAAGAAATTATGACCAACTGATACAGCTATATTCTCCGTAGAATAGGACATAGAAGATGGGTAAGTTGAAAAAAAGGATGGGATCTACGAATGATGGAAGCACAGGGCCATCCCCAACTACATGACTTGTTGACTCCATAGAAAGAAGCAGTTGAACAGGAATATCATATTGAAAACAATCATCAATAGCCCAAGTCGTAAGCTGGGTAATAAGCTAACAGTGCTACTGCCTAATCAACCTCAAAACAAAGAACTAGGTATTTTCTGAAATGGGAACTGAAAATAGTTAAACAAGAGAATTCAATGGCTGAATTGAAAAACTTATAACAGTAAACTAATGAATACAAGCATTTAGATATGCATCATTTTAGCTTTAATATATATATATATATATATATGGTAATGGATTACATTATTCACTTCACATTTGGGGGCAAATCAAAGTATTACATGTTATAAACAACTGGTGCAAACTACCAAGCACTTTGACATCTCGTGCATTTTAGGTTGTTTGTGTGTGTTTCCTGCAAGCAGCTTGATGGGGACATCAGATCATGGAAGGTTTATCATAGGCGTGGCCATCGATTGAGTCTTTGTACTTTTGATTTATTTATTTTCTTATTGATGTTATCATTGTATTTGTGTTATTTAATTTTCCGTTGTACCCTTTTAGTAAGGGATGTCGAATGTAAGCCCTGAGGGCATTGTCGTCTCTTTCTATTTTCTTGAGTCTTATGTAGGAGGCTATTTATTACCCCTTGTCTTTCTTTCAAATTAATGAAGAATTATAATAAAAAGAAATTTATGCACTTGTTTTCTTCAAGGTTTTAAAAGACGAAATCGGGAATCGAGGCGTTTTTTCTAAGCAAGGCGAGGCGTAAGCCTCGAGGCGGATCGAGGCATAAGTCTCAAAACGGTTAAAATAAATTAATTTAAAATTATAAATAATGACAAAAAATAACAAAATATTATGTTAACTATGAATTTGAAGATTTGTTT